GACTCTACAGTGTAACCTGAGTGGTGGCAGTGGTTTAACATGACTCTACAGTGTAACCTGAGTGGTGACAGTGGTTTAACATGACTCTTCAGTGTAACCTGAGTGGTGGCAGTGGTTTAACATGACTCTTCAGTGTAACCTGAGTGGTGGCAGTGGTTTAACATGACTCTTCAGTGTAACCTGAGTGGTGGCAGTGGTTTAACATGACTCTTCAGTGTAACCTGAGTGGTGGCAGTGGTTTAACATGACTTCAGTGTAACCTGAGTGGTGGCAGTGGTTTAACATGACTCTGCAGTGTAACCTGAGTGGTGGCAGTGGTTTAACATGACTCTGCAGTGTAACCTGAGTGGTGGCAGTGGTTTAACATGACTCTAAAGCGTAACCTGAGTGATGGCAGTCGTTTAACATGACTCTACAGTATAACCTGAGTGGTGGCAGTGGTTTAACATAACTCTACAGTGTAACCTGAGTGGTGGCAGTGTTTTAACATGACTCTGCAGTGTAACTTGAGTGGTTGCAGCTTAGTGGGAGGATAATGGAGGTTCACTGGCCGACAGCTTCCTTGAAAACCTTCTTTGGAAAAGACTAGTGTCTGTGGGAGGTGCGAAGGCGGCAGCCACCTGTGTGTCCACATCCAGACGTCATGTACACACCCAGGCATCATCATGTACACAACCAAGCGTCGTGTGTACACACTCGGGCGTTATGACGATGTCAAAACCGCTGAGAAGAATGAGAACAGAGGAGGACAGTGATCAGCTTCAGAGACGCCTAAGAGCCTGTAGATATGGTCAAATAACCAGCTTCTCGAATTCAACCCAAGCAAATACAAGGTCATGTGTTTTGTAGGAGAGGACATGCGGAGCACAACACAGTGAGAAGCTGCAAGTATCAGAGAGTAAAGAGGACCTGGGGGTGAATATAGCACCTTGCATATATGTTGATAAATGATTCAGAGAACCGACAAGTCGATAAATTAGACACGTGTACAACACTTGAGTATCTTTGAGGAAACGTTTCGCCACACAATAGTGAAGATCAGTAATCAGTCCCTCAGTCTAAAGCCAGTGTAACTAGTCCATCAGTCTTTTCAATTAATTTCATCGACTCCATGCTGAGGGACTGATTACCTGAAACTCCTCCTAATCTTCACTATTCTTCTTTGTCTGGTTACCTGGATTGTCTGGTTACCTGGAGGTTATTCCGGGGATCAACGCCCCCGCTGCCCGATCCATGACCAGGCCTCCCGGTGAATCAGGGCCTGATCAACCAGGCTGGCCGCACGCAGTCCAACGTACGAACCACAGCCCGGCTGATCCGGCACTGACTTTAGGTATCTGCCCAGCTCTCTCTTGAAGGCAGCCAGGGATTTATTGGCAATTCCCCTAATGCTTGATGGGAGGCTGTTGAACAGTCTTGGGCCCCGGACACTTATGGCGCCCCTACTTTTAATTGGGGGCATTTTGCATCGCCTGCCCAGTCTTTTACTTTCGTAGGGAGTGATTTCTGTGTGCAGATTTGGGACCATTCCTTCCAGGATTTTCCAAGTGTAGATTATGATATATCTCTCCCTCCTGCGTCCTGCGTTTGTATCGGACTGATGAATTTATCAACCTAGCATATAATTGGAACTGCACGTAAACCGCATAACGTCAGTGACTTATACATGAAGATTAGCAATACTCAGAACATCATCCATCAACTTGAACAGAGAATCCTTCAGAACTTTACACACGACATATGTTAGGCCAGTCATCAAATACGTGGCCCAAGAGCAGGGAGCGCACGCTTGATCAAGCACGTGAAGAAACTGGAAAATGTCCAAAGGTTTGCAACCAGACTAGTACCAGAACTGAGAGGAATGCGCTATGGGAAGAGGTTGAAAAAACTGAACCAGACGACCTTAGAGGAGATAACGTGTGTGTGTGTGTGTGTGTGTGTGTGTGTGTGTGTGTGTGTGTGTGTGAGTGAACGCATATGTAATGTATGAACATGGGTGGGTGGGTGTATGAATGGAGTGGGTGGGCGTGCGTGGTGAGGGTGGGCGTGCTTGGCGGGGTGGGCGTACGTGGTGGGGGTGGGCGTGCGTGGTGGGGGTGGGTGTGCGTGGCAGGGTGGACGTGCGTGGCGGGGTGGGTGTGCGTGGCAGGGTGGGCGTGCGTGGTGGAGGTGGGTGTGCGTGGCGGGGTGGGGTGTGCGTGGCGGGGTGGGCGTGCGTGGTGGGGGTGGACGTGCGTGGCGGGGTGGGTGTGCGTGGTGGGGGTGGGCGTGCGTGGTGGAGGTGGGCGTGCGTGGCAGGGTGGTTGTGCGTGGCGGGTGGGTGTGCGTGGCGGGGTGGGCGTGCATGGCGGGGTGGGTGTGCGTGGCGGGGTGGGGGTGGGTGTGCGTGGCGAGGTGAGCGTGCGTGGTGGGGGTGGGTGGGGGTGGGTGTGCGTGGCGGGGTGGGTGTGCGTGGGGGGTGGGCGTGCGTGGTGGGGGTGGGCGTGCGCACGCCCATCTCTGTCCCATCTATCTTAGGTAGAGATTGTAACTTGTTTTTCATGTGAGTTTCTCCCGGAATACAAGTTTTCCCCTTAAGCAGATACAGATGGCCTCAGCAGACACGGATGGCCTCTCAGCAGACACGGATGGCCTCTCAGCAGACACGGATGGCCTCTCAGGAGACACTGATGGCCTCTCAGGAGCCACGGATGACCTCTCAGGAGACACGGATGGCCTCTCAGGAGACAAGGATGGCCTCTCAGGAGACACGGATGGCCTCTCATGAACCACGGATGGCCTCTCAGAAGACACGGATGGCCTCTCAGAAGACACGGATGGCCTCTCAGGAGACACGGATGGCCTCTCAGGAGCCATGGATGGCCTCTCAGCAGACACGGATGGCCTCTCAGCAGACACGGATGGCCTCAGCAGACGCAGATGGCCTCAGCAGACACGGATGGCCTCAGCAGACACGGATGGCCTCTCAGCAGACGCGGATGGCCTCTCAGGAGACACGGATGGCCTCTCAGGAGCCACGGATGGTCTCTCAGGAGTCACGGATGGCCTCTCAGGAGCCACGGATGGCCTCTCAGGAGACAAGGATGGCCTCTCAGGAGCCACGGATGGCCTCTCAGGAGCCACGGATGACCTCTCAGGAGACACGGATGGCCTCTCAGGAGTCACGGATGGCCTCTCAGCAGACACGGATGGCCTCTCAGCAGACACGGATGGCCTCTCAGCAGACACGGATGGCCTCTCAGCAGACACGGATGGCCTCTCAGCAGACACGGATGGCCTCTCAGGAGACACGGATGGCCTCTCAGAAGACACGGATGGCCTCTCAGGAGACACGGATGGCCTCTCAGGAGTCACGGATGGCCTCAGCAGACGCGGATGACCTCTCAGCAGACGCGGATGGCCTCTCAGCAGACGCGGATGTCCTCTCAGCAGACGCGGATGTCCTCTCAGCAGACGCGGATGGCCTCTCAGCAGACGCGGATAGCCTCTCAGGAGACACGGATGGCCTCTCAGGAGCCACGGATGGCCTCTCAGAAGACGCGGATGGCCTCTCAACAGACGCGGATGGCCTCTCAGGAGACACAGATGGCCTCTCAGGAGACACAGATGGCTTCTCCGGAGACACGGATGGCCTCGGCAGACGCGGATGACCTCTCAGCAGACACGAATGGCCTCTCAGCAGACACGAATGGCCTCGCAGCAGACACGGATGGCCTCTCCTCAACAGACGTGGATGGCCTCTCATCACACGCTCATCAGAGGTGATGTAATCCTGTGGATGGTTGAGTAGCTGGAGGCAGCTCCACTGAGGACTACCCTCAAGGACGAGGGGAAAGAGAGAGAGAGAGGAGGAGCTGGTGAAGGGCGTTGTATAAACCTTACGTGTTTGGCGCTTTCCCGTGACCACAATAATATTAGCCTTTTGTTATTGAAATATGAGAAGGAATACCTGGACATACTTCAGATTTCATCCCTGAGCCGGGCATCGTCTGGCACACATGTGCCGGGCATCGTCTGGCACACATGTGCCACACTTCATATCTTTTATCTTGATGTTTCGCCATCTAGTAGCTTTTTTTTCATATCGGTTCAGATTATTATAAATTGGAGACAGAAGATGAGGTAATCGGTCCCTCAGCTTTGGTTGAAGGTGTTCAAACTAGGGAGAGTGAAGGGTGAGGTTATCAGTCCCTCAGCAAGTGTTCAGCACATGTTTGATTCATCAGCTTGTTGTTGTATACCATTAATGTTATGATTCGCATTTCCTTACGAACAAACCACCACCGCCAACAGCGTGATAACTGTAAATTAGCGTAACTTTGGGAAATCTTGCGTAGCTTTGGGAAAAAGTTGAATGTATACATGGATAGTTTTGATAAGGACTTGCCTTGTATGGACCAGTAGGCCTGCTGCAGTGCTCTTCCATTATTATGTTCTTATGTAAAGCTGTGAATTAGTATGGGAAGGTAGGTAAGATAAGGTTTGTCAGGAAACAGGACAAGTGTTTCCAGACGAGGGTTTTAATCATATGATGACCCGCAGCTGGAACTTTTGGTCATCTGACCGAGGCCTTCCGCTGGCTTACCGGTCCACCCATTTAAAAATTATGGTTATGATTATAACCATTTTTTACTACTATGATAGTAGCGTGGTAGCTGTAAGTTAGCGTGGTAGTTGTGATCCTTCTAGAAAGAAACTCACAAATGTCTGCAGGTAAACAAACCCTTAAAAGAATATCGTAAAGTGAGCGCATAATTATCAACAAACATTTTGGGAACTATGAGTTTATTATATTTTTCACAGTAAGACGTAGCTTACTAACGATGTGTCTACATGATATAACTTCTGACTCTATGATGGTAGCGCTGTATTACCCACCAGAGTTCAGCGCTTCTTTTCAAATCTAATAACTTTGATATGCTGATAGAGATTTTACTAAACCCTCCCATGTACTTTCTCCTCTCTGCTATGCTAATGTTCTCTCATTATCTTGTTCTCAGGGTTCTCAACATGGGGGAAAAAGATGGGCAAGAAACTGGAGCAGCTGACGCGAGGTGAGAGCAAGGAGCACATCCATTTCCCCCTAGGCTCCACCCGCACCCGCCGCAGGAACTGGCGACCCAACAAAGATGCAGAGACTGTGCCCGTGCCCACCAAGGACGCCAAGACTGCGCCTCGACAAGCACGCAGGACTAAGGTAGACCGCGTTGAGAGTATTCGTAATCTTTTCCGTCGCTCGCGTAGCTGGGATTCGGCGAAAGACCTGGAGGATTTGCCAGCAACGAGGACGACTGTGCCACCGAATGCTTGTTCTGATGGTGCTAAGGGTCTCGGTGATACCCCTGATAATATATACGAATCACTCAAAGATGTGGACAGTGGACCAGTTGCTGTGAAAGCGACACTGTTGTTTAGAAGTGCATCTACGTCACATCTGCCTAGCTGTGAGGTGGGGTTGGATGTGGAGAGTGAGAGCACGGAGGAGGGCACAGCGGAGGGCGGAGAAGAGGTCGGGGAAAGCGAATACGAAGGAAAGACGAGTGAAAGTGAAAAGACAAAGAAAGGACAATTTCCGTATGCGTTCCTGAGATCCAGACTGACCTCGGTCGCTGAGGAACAAGCGACCGCTAGGGAAGAGTGTGGTGACAGTGGACGTGGCACCGGCAGCCACTGTGGCAGCATTTCTGATGTTAGAACTTCTTACTCTGAAACATCGGACTCAAAATCTTCATTTTCAGAAAATTCAGACACCAAGTCGTCTTGCTCAGACTCGTCAGATAACAAGTGGGTTCGTGAAGAGGATGAAGAGGAGGAAGGTGAGGAGGGAAGTACTCGAACAAGTAGGGAGGAAAACGGCGGGACAAAACCCTCAACTAGAGACGTCGTCTCGCCCATCCCCGCGCCCACGGGTTTCGGTGACGGGGATTTCGTAGTGACTGTGCGTGTGCAGGGGGCGGCAGGGGACGACACCCGAAGCTCCACCGTCTATATCCAGCGTGAATCTCGAGTCGCCGATGATAACCATGACTCCAAGAAATCCAGATCTTTAAAACAAACTGATAATAAAATGTGTGAAAGCGTAAAGACTGTTGAGACTCGTCCACTGTTAACAGACGAAGAGAAACTTCATGCGCGGAAGAGCGAGTGTTGTCACCACTGCCACCGCTTGCGCGACCCCCAGCAGCCACAAGGCGTTCCTTTGCCACCTGTTAGAAGGCGACAACGATCCCAGTCCCATATTCACACCCGTATGAGCTTTCCCACTTCATCCACCTCTACTGACACCCTCTACGAGGTCATATACCCCGAGGACGCCTACACTAAACGAGCCTCACTTGATTTAGATCGTCTAAACTGCAGAGTAGAACGTTTAGATAGGTTCGACAAACTGAATCGGTTAGATCGGAATGACCGTATTATTGGCCATGTCTTAGAGACAAGACGTAGGTACTCTCGATCGGTTTCCCTAGACCGCGCAGAGTCTTGGCGATGGCGGGACTCTCTCCTGACGGAGGACTGTGACACAGAGTCGGTGTATAGTGAGACTGGGTACCGGGGGAGGGCGCCGAGCCTGTCGCGACCCACACCCACCACACTACCACAGCCTCCTCCGACCAACAGAAGCTTCAGATTAGTGCGGCTGGTGAAGGAAGATCCAGACGAGGGTTTGGGACTGTACATTGCTGACCAGAGGACACTGGGTTACGTCATTGCTCACATCCTGCCTGGTGGCCTCACTGACAGGTAAGTGCTGCCCACACACGTGTCCCTAGAAAAAAAACAGTGTCTGGTATTTAAAGTTGTATTTTGTAGTTCCGCTTATATATATATATATATATATATATATTATATATATATATATATATATATATATATATATATATTTTATTTTTATTATCACACTGGCCGATTCCCACCAAGGCAGGGTGGCCCGAAAAAGAAAAACTTTCACCATCATTCACTCCATCACTGTCTTGCCAGAAGGGTGCTTTACACTACAGTTTTTAAACTGCAACATTAACACCCCTCCTTCAGAGTGCAGGCACTGTACTTCCCATCTCCAGGACTCAAGTCCGGCCTGCCGGTTTCCCTGAATCCCTTCATAAATGTTACTTTGCTCACACTCCAACAGCACGTCAAGTATTAAAAAACCATTTGTCTCCATTCACTCCTATCAAACACGCTCACGCATGCCTGCTGGAAGTCCAAGCCCCTCGCACACAAAACCTCCTTTACCCCCTCCCTCCAACCTTTCCTAGGCCGACCCCTACCCCGCCTTCTTCCACTACAGACTGATACACTGTTGAAGTCATTGTTTCGCTCCATTCTCTCTACATGTCCGAACCACCTCAACAACCCTTCCTCAGCCCTCTGGACAACAGTTTTTGGTAATCCCGCACCTCCTCCTAACTTCCAAACTACGAATTCTCTGCATTATATTCACACCACACATTGCCCTCAGACATGACATCTCCACTGCCTCCAGCCTTCTCCTCGCTGCAACATTCATCACCCACGCTTCACACCCATATAAGAGCGTTGGTAAAACTATACTCTCATACATTCCCCTCTTTGCCTCCAAGGACAAAGTTCTTTGTCTCCACAGACTCCTAAGTGCACCACTCACTCTTTTTCCCTCATCAGTTCTATGATTCACCTCATCTTTCATAGACCCATCCGCTGACACGTCCACTCCCAAATATCTGAATACGTTCACCTCCTCCATACTCTCTCCCTCCAATCTGATATCCAATCTTTCATCACCTAATCTTTTTGTTATCCTCATAACCTTACTCTTTCCTGTATTCACCTTTAATTTCTTCTTTTGCACAACCTACCAAATTCATCCACCAATCTCTGCAACTTCTCTTCAGAATCTCCCAAGAGCACAGTGTCATCAGCAAAGAGCAGCTGTGACAACTCCCACTTTGTGTGTGATTCTTTATCTTTTAACTCCACGCCTCTTGCCAAGACCCTATATATATATATATATATATATATATATATATATATATATATATATTATATATATATATATATATATATATATATATATATAAAATGTCGTGCCGAATGGGTAAAATTGGTCAGTTAGCAAGAACTCTTTTAAAATTAAATCCTTTCTAAAATTTTATCTTGTACGTTTTAAGATACATTTTTTTCATTTATGTTAATTAAAAATTAATAATTTTGTACCAAAATAACCTTAGAAAACTTACCTAACCTTATTATAACAAGCGCAATTTAATTTAGTCTAATCCAACTAAATATATTTTAGATAAGTGTACAGTAATTTGATAATAAACAAAATGAAAGATATTTTTTTTCGTTAAGTTCAGAATGATTTTTGCGAAATTGTTGCACGCAAAAATTTTCGTTTGTCTTATTCGGCAAGAAGAGCGTTGCTATTTAAGCCAAAATAGCAAGTTTTACGTATATGGCACGATATATATATATATATATATATATATATATATATATATATATATATATATATATATATATATATATATATATATTAATAATCTGTTTAAGACTTTAGGTTCGAACCACTGAGCCCCAACAAGGAAGACGTGAGTGTGTATATATTCCGACAATACTAGTTGAATGGCTACACCCTTGCCTGTGGTCACAAGCGTCTGGGGATCACTTCTCAGAAGTGAATATCCCGGTAAAATATACAAAATATATAATTCTGCTGTCAGATAGCCTTTCCTGGACCATTATCAGTGGCGACATGCTTAATAGTCAAACGCGGACCGAAGTATCGTCTATTTTTCATATACAATTTGTAAGCTCGTGGTTTGTTCCACACAGTATTGAATTACGTCCAACCTTTTAAGTGTTTGACATTTATTTTAGTCAAAGCGACGTTTGAAGTCTATTTTGTTTGCGGTAGGTATACGCGCGCTAATAACTAAACACGTTTTCAAAATCCTTACACATCGATGCTTCCATTTACACACTTCAGTATGAAAGTAGGTAGGAATAAGTACGGGCGTTGAATCAACCCCGTATCTCCCCCTCCCCATCCTCCACACACAAACTCGCTCTGCATACTTAACAGAGGCAGAATTTGTAAATTTACTCCTAATGAGTATAAAGCCAGTGTGTATATAGCATGATGCGTGTTGTGGAGGGTGAATTCACGCTGTGTGATTCCCAGAACAATCTTGACAAAGGAAGCAGCATTCATTATCTGAGACTTCCCTCCTTCACGAACTAGCATATATGCTAGTGCATGTTTACGCGGTTAAAAGTGTTGTGGATGCTCTAGTGTGATGATTAAGACACTTGTGAAACACCTGGGTATCTTCGTTCTGAAGACTTTCTGCATACACACCTAAATGTCACTCATATCTGTACAAACATTGTATCATGCTGAAATAATCTGTATTTGAACCAGTGGCTTGGTTATCTGAAGGTGTTGAAACTAGGGACAATAGAAGACAAGGTAATCAGTCCCTCAGCCTAGATGGTGTTCACCGCCTTAAGTCTTGATGAATCTAAAGCGGGGTTCCCAAAAGTGGTCAATATCGACCCCTGAGGGGTCGATAAATGGCTGGGAGTTAGTAAATGTCTGGGCCCTGTTGGACCAGTGTAAATACTGTTGCTAAATACCCTGGCTTTGTGCAGTGATTAAGCCATCTTTACTTGCTTTCTCAAGTTCGTACATGGCTGTAGCTGGCTTTAACCATAAAGTGCGTTTCTAACTCAGCAGAGAAACAGACTGAACCTGGATAAACCTGGTGACTTATAACTAAAACTCAGCAACCACCAACCGTTGTTGACGTTCATCAGATGCATCCTTCCCATTAATAATATCGAAACGTCTACAAATATACCAAGATATTGCACATGTGTCGAGTTCCTCATCTTTTTGGTATTGTATACCGTTCATGTACCACCAGCTTCGAGGCAGCATCCCAAGGCTGAGTCATCTGTTACTTATTATTGTTTGTATTTTATCCCTAGCTATACAGACTATGTTTTGTAAATAACTTGTTACTACTGTAACTTCCTTCTTTAATTCAACTTCTTGTCTGACCCATACCGGTTTAGCGGTGAATTTTTGAAATATAATTTGTAAGCCAAAGGTGGTGGTCCAGTTCCCTGGACTGTGTGTGTGTGGGGAAGGGGGAGGATGGTGGGTCGTTGAGAGTGTGAGTGAATGATCTATCAACTGCTGCCCATAGCATGGTGTTAGGGTGCATAATAAATCTATTAAATCAATATATTCCATTCCCCTGAGAATTGAAACTACACCTGGCAGGGGGGCGACTTTTATGGGTACATAGTGTTAGGGGTAGTGGTATACAATTATTGGTACTGTAAGGTACCTGGAGGTTGATGTATAAGACACACTTGGTGCACTTCGGTATCTTTATTGCCTAAACGTTTTCGTCTACACGGTAGATTTCGTCAGTCGAATACAGGTGAATACAGTGAAAGCAGTCGAAGTAGTTTTGACATGATAGGTCTGTCACCCTTGGTGGGAGGTGATCAGTCCCTCATTAAAGCTTACTGTGTGGGTGAAACACCTTAAAGAAAGAATTACATTTTTTTTTACACAGGGTTTGACAAGGTTAAGGATCCCTAGCTTTATTGACAGCTATTTACAGGTTAAGGATTCCTAACTTTATTGGCAAGCTAAGAGCTGTTACCTACATCAGCTCATTTGAAAGCATTTTTATTGTTATGAGACATACAAGTAGGGAACAGGATGAAGTTGGAGTCCATCTGTGGGCCAGCATTTTTATTTGATCAACTGACTTTATCTCGTTGACATCATTATGCTGTACGAATGTGTTCCATACTCGAGTCATCCTGGGTATGTATGATCTCAGATGGAGTGATGTTCTGGAGAAGGGTACAGCCAGAGTGAAGTTGCTGCTTTCTGCCCGTCTTGTGGCATAAAAGCTTGTTTCACGTTATCCTCGAAGTGAATCCAAGTGTGGTACTTTGACAATATTGGCCTTGTACATAACAGTAAGGCCACCCACATCCCTCCTATGTTGAAGGCTCTGCTGAAATGACAGATCTATCCAGGATGGGTCCAGGCGAGAGATGAGACGTCTTGCTCTGTTCTCTACTCTGTCAAGCAGTAGCAGATGAGAGGGGGGGTCAGGCAAACCAAGAAAGTGGAACATACTCAAGGTGTGAGCGTACTTGTGCCTCGTACAGAATCTTGCAATCCCTACTGTCAAGCAGATGCGAGATACGGCGAAGTGCTGTAAGCTTCCTGGCTGCCTTGTTTGCTAGATTTACAACATGGTTCTTCATGGTCAGTTTGGAGTCAAATTTCGCCCCAAGGATATCAACTTCTTCTCTTCAACTTCTTCTCTGCACTCTCGTGTCAATATCCACGACGTCACCTGCCTAACGAAGTAGTGGTGATGGAGGCTCTATTCCCCGTCCGCGCAACGCATTCATCTAAATACCTCAGCAACCAGGATCATTTGTTCTGTCGACGAGCTCAGCAACCGCCGCCGCCGCCGCCGCGCAGTGGGGAGAAGGGGAGGTCTCCCCCAAATCATTTATCACCGCTCCGCGCCGCTGCGCCGCTGCAATTTTCACGATCCTATCAATCTTGTTGATTCATTGTTCTCACAGTGTCGTTTTAAAAGGTGTGAATTAATGCTTAGAACGTTCACTTTCATGCTTATATTTTTTGGGGTTTCTTTCTGCAGGCGTTTGTGGAGTCATGGGATTTCGAGCCCAGTTCTCGCTTTCAAAAAATAAAA